AAACTCAACTTTTTTGTCTCCTAGTAGTCTGGAAAGTTCATCCAAAAATACATTCAAAAAGTCTCGGACTACCGTGATCTCTTGAATACAAATTTCTTTTTTAGAGTTGCCTAGTTTAGAGAAAACAATCGAGTTAAAGTGCTATATAATAAGGAGATTGCTATAAGGGAATAATATTCAAAACTATTATTAGCTTGTAAATAATTCTTCATTAGGAGGATTAAATATAATTTTTCTCATAAAAATAATCTACGGTGGCATGATACTTTGTTAACCAGTTCATTCTTGGAAATATATCAGGGTCCGCCGTGTCAATCCCTATCAGGTCCATCATGGGTGAAACCGAGTCCTGTGGAAGAGGAGCTAGATATTGCTGGGGAGGGACCAAGTGACCCTGTAACGGTGCTGGATGATATGGTGGGGGCTCCGAATTGTATTATAACAGTGTCGAATGATACGATAAAGGAGCAGGGTTGCATCAAGGTGGTGTTAGATCCTCTCGTTGTAGGGGTGGCTCATAGTGTAGAAGTGGTGGAGGGTCAGACAATTTCCTCCTCCCTTCCCTGACATACTGAGCAGAGATGAGTCTCTTAAAAATCTTGAAGAGCCGATCAACATCCTCTCGAAGCGACCCGTCTCGGGTTACTTTGTTCAATGAGGGACCTCATCTCCTCGTATTTTGTACTTATTTTTCATAAGGAATGGTTGGATAATAGTTCGTATTTGGTATTTTTAAGTTTTTGTGTAAGGAATGGTTCCAAAAAACCTGGCTCTAATACCAATTATAAAGACCCAAAACTTAAAAGAAAATAAAATCAGGAACTAAATGCAGAAGCAAAATAATAGAGTTCAGAGTTTACATTCCTTACACAATAATTTAGAATGCCCAATAGGAATACATAATGACCATTCTAAAAGAATAAACAAAATCAAAGAAATAAATAAAAGACAATATGCTGAGCATTCTAGGATGATTTTCACTAACTTTTGAAGAAAGTCCGGATGGTGAACTATTCACAACCCTCTTGTTGATTGAGATCTGGGTCTTGATCTTCTTAATATGAAATAGTTAATGAAACAGTGAGTTATAGTATCCTAGTAAGAATATCACACTACTCACCGATACAGAAATTGAAGGTTGGTAAAAATCATAAAAACAACTAATTGAATTCTTGATTTAAGTAAATTCATTTATCATAAGGAAAAAATATTTATTGCATATATCTACTGTTGTGAGATTTTCAAAATCGACGTATAGAGATACAATAATTCAAATAATATTCTAATATCATATTCAAGTGAGTAAGAACAATAACTTTCTCTTTTTATTTACCTATTAGTATCCCTAGGAGCCCATAAAGATATCCCACTACGTGTGAACCAATATTCAACATTGTCTACTAACCGACCATCCCCATATCTCGTCCGGTATGAACGCTAAAAATACCATTCCTCAATACCCCGTCTGATTTGAGGGTGAATTGGACCGTCCCCATACCCCGTCCGGTATGAGTGTCAAAATTACCAATTCTCGATACCCCGTTCGATATGAGGCAACGTTCACAGTAGGGTTTCTTATGTACCCAGTCCGTCCACCATCTCCCTAAGTATCTAGTAAGGCTGACATTCATTAATTCATATGATCAATCAATTTTTTATTTGCATATTAATTACTGATTTCACAATCAACCGTAAATCACGCAAGACAAGCAATAAATAAATAAATATATATATATATCAAAGAAGCACAATTGAATTAATTAACCATTTCAGAATATCATCATATATTTAAAGCTGTAAATTCAACAATAAGTTAAACATGACAAATAAATAACTAACCAGTTCCAGCTCCATTAGTAACTTGTAATTATTCTCAAAGTCTTATAAATTACAAAAAAAAATACTATATTATTGATTATTAAGTTTCAATTCTACAACAAAGAATACGGTGAGGGATTCTTACCTAAATCAGTCTGAAATACCGAACTTTCTACTGCGCCTATTGGCAGTTTTTGAGTTTTCTAAATTTTCTGTGGAGATTAAAACACGCTTCACGTACCTAAAAATATCCCAAAAATCCCAAAATTGGTATTAAAAATCTTTTTCGGCCAATTTCGGAATTCTGGTACAGCAGCATCGCCGTTTACAGTGGCAGTTTGCCTCGTCTTGGCCCTTTTCAGTCAGTTTTAGCCGATCTCGGCTGGTTTTGTACCCATTCCTGTGAGAAAACATGTTAGGAGGTTTCGGTTGGCTGAAAAAAGTCAAAAAGGAGGTATTTGTTGGCTAAAAAATGTCAAAAAATAAAAACCTACTGGCGGCAGAATTTTTCGGTGCGGCAGTTCTGCCTGCTCACCTATGCGGCTGGGTGTTTTTCTTCAGTCAACCTGTAGAAAATAGAATAGTAAACACAATGGTAGAAAAATCACATGAAACGACGGGAAGCGGCTCATCGGAGCCAGTTTCGAGTTTTGCTCGTTGCGGTGGCGCTGGGTTTTACCCGCAATTTTTAGCTTATCTGCCATTCTTTTTACTCCGATTTGGCCATGGAGGTGCTCGGAATCAAATTTCGAGCGGATAAAATTTTTTTTACCTTTTTTGGCAGTCGGATGTGACTCCGGCGCAATGGGGGGTGGTTGTCAGCTCCCTTCTCCGGCGACTAGTTCTTCTTCTCTGACAGGAGGCTGGCGGTTAGGGTTTGGGTTCGATGTGATGCGAGATATTTATATCCGTCTTCCTTATATCTGGGCCGTTTATCGCGTTTGATCTCGACCGTCCGATCGTGTTTAAAGAAAAAATGAATCTGAACCGTTCATTATGATTTGATCTCGACCGTCTGATCGCGTTTAAAGAGGAAACGAATCTGGACCGTTCATCGCGTTTAATCGTGACCGTCCGATCATGCATGAGCGAATGGATCCGGATCGTCCACGCGCACTGGAACGCATTCGGGCCATCCGATCGCAGGCACGCGGATTGGCAGTAAGGCCTCCCGCGTGGCACCGAGTCAGTATGTCTTGCCACGGGATGCGTTCGGGTTCGTCGGGATTGCTGACTTGGCGGTCATACGTAGCACAATTTTCTTTAATTGCATTTTGATCTTCAGTTTTCGATTTTTGTTTCAAAAACACTATACAAATCTAATTTTTCACCTATTTTTTCTAAAATTATTTTTAATTTCATTTTCAACTTATTTTTTTTCTTAATTTCACATTAAATAAAAAATTATTAATTTTAAAATTATGTATTTATATATTTTTTAAATTCTAAAATTAATTTCGGGCCAAATTCCGGTTCTAGATATTACAACAAAGATGTATCTATGAGTTGTCTTCATTTCAATCATTAAAATATAAAAATTTCAAAAATAAATTTGACATCAGAAAGGGGGAAAAAAAAAAAAAAAAAAAAGACTAACTTGGGATATAAATGACAAGTACTAGTGGAAAAGTGGTCTCCAACTCTTCAACAACGGACAATTTAATTGCCTTTAGTAATTCTCTTGTTCCACATTTAAAAGAAAGATCATGTTTTCTTTATCCTCACAAACTTTATGTAACATTATCTTATATCAACAATTAAAATTTATAATTTTTCATTTGTAAATTTAATAAAATCCTGCATCAATACACCAATATATTATGTAGTTGTTGATTGAACTAGTGAAAATTTAATTAAATTAATTATTGCTTGTAACTTTAGTTGTTGTGTTTAAGTGCAAGGACATTCGTTTGAGTAATTAACTAATAAAAGATTGATCACGTGTTTGAGATTAATTATAATATGTATATATATGTATATGTATATGTTCAACATAGGAACTAAAATTGGGTCCATGGCTTTTTAATGCATTGTTATTGAAGCAAGAAAGAAACAAACAATTAGGGAAGTGGGGTTGATGGGGGACCGCTCTTTACTTGTATAGAAGTAGAATATTGATTTTTATTTGATTAACCAAGTAAATTTTGGCATATCTAATATAAACAATCGACTTATTCTAAAAAATATTATATACATATACTATAAATAATTGATGTGTACAAAAATATTTATAATTGGAGCATCCAATTCCTCTAGTATATATTCTAAGTGACAAGGTCTTTTTTTTTTTTTTTTTTTTTGAAGAATAAAGCGTAAGAGATAATTCTAAATTTTGATATATTTATGGATGTTGCCAAACATTGAGTCAAATTATTCTGATTCATTTGTTAGTTTGATTGGTGAAAAGAATTTTCTTATCATTAAAAGTAGCCACGTGGATTTTGACAAAAAATATCTTGCGAAGATAGCAGGGCAGCCATTTTGATTGAAAATACAAGGCTTTCGATACTTAGAACTTTAGACATTTGGATTATTTTAAAAGTTACCCAGTTTATGGCTATATATATATACACATATATATATGTATACGCGTACGTACTACACATATAGATTTATAGCCTCCACTGAATGACTCTGCTGCTTGTATGGCTGGAGAGTTTGCTCTTATCATGATTTGCTTTTGATATGAAACGTCACTATTTATATGTTTATATTTCTGGTGTTGAGAAATATTTTTTTTTTATGTTTATTTTTCATTGAAATTTCTTTTTAAGCTATCAGGGTATTTTTTGAAATTTTTTTGCATATCGACGCTAAGTTTTTTTTTTTTTAAATTTTTTTTATAATAATATCCACATTAAAAACTAAAGAAATATTGGGAGAAATTAATGAAAACCAAGTTTAATCCTGTGAAAAACAGGATCTCTGAACTAAAAGATCATCTGACCAACTTTTCATATTCTTAATTAAGCAGAGGAGTTTCTTTCAGTGCCGAGTGAGTCATAGAGAATTTCTCAGTTAGTGCATTCCCAGTTTATACACCACTTTCAAATGTAACCTAATCTAATATGATATAATATAATATATATGTATATCTTATATACATGGTACCTGTAAATTTTCCTTAATTATTTGTCATTATATGAAAAGAGATGCAATATAGCCAATACTGGAGCATGGTTTAGATAACAATGCATATTCCCAACTGGACCGGAAAAAACAAAGGTTGTAATAACTCAGACTTCCATTTCTATCACAACACAAAAAAGGGTCACCACTCCTCTCTTTACAAATATATCCCCCCTCCTTTTTTTCTCTCTAAAATCTCACACTGCAATATTCTGTATTCAATAGCTCAAATTCCAATCACCCTCCTTTCTCATCTCTCTATACTCGTTTTTTATGGTGCTTCGTGTTTTTTTCTCATTATTCTACATTGCTGCTTCTTGAACTACCTTGTACATTTATTAAAAAAACAATTCAAGAAAAAGTCTCTTTTTTGCTTTTTTTTTTTTAAAAAAAAAAACTATATTTTCTTCTTTCTTGTTCGTCTTCCTCCTACTTGGATGAACTCAGAAGGGTGTTAATCCACCTGGGTCGTTTTTATTTTGCCTCAACTACGCTCCAAATAAATGGGTCTTTGATGATTCTTGAGACAGACCCTTGATGGATCTTGAAGGTGTGAACCGTGCGATCCGCAGCAATCCAATCAAGGTACAGACATGCGCGACAATCATTCTTGTACAAGTGTATTCGAAAATCACTGGTTGGTTGGTGTTATATATATTCGAAAGTCATTTTTGTTTTGCAGAAAGATTCGTGGAAGACAGTGTTAACTTTGGCTTATCAGAGCTTGGGGGTAGTTTATGGAGATTTAAGCACTTCTCCTTTGTATGTGTATAAAAGCACTTTTGCGGAGGATATCCAGCATTCCGAGACAAATGAGGAGATCTTTGGGGTGTTGTCTTTTGTGTTTTGGACCTTAACGTTAATACCCCTGGTGAAATATGTGTTTATTGTGCTCAGAGCAGATGATAATGGTGAAGGTGGCACTTTTGCTTTGTATTCATTGCTCTGCCGCCATGTACGAGTTAGCTCCTTGCCCAATTGCCAGCTCGCGGATGAGGAGTTATCAGAGTACAAAAACGACGGGATTGGTTCAAGCTTGAAATCAACTTTGGAGAAGTACAGAGTTCTGCAAAAAGTGCTGCTCTTGTTGGCATTGATTGGGACTTGTATGGTCATTGGGGATGGGGTCCTTACTCCTGCAATTTCAGGTACTGAGGTTCATATGATCTCTCTGGATAAATTGGACAATTTGAACATTTTAACACTGTTTGCTTTTTGTTTTATGTTTCTCGTGCAGTTTTCTCGGCTGTGTCTGGGCTAGAGCTTTCCATGTCAAAAGAGCAGCATCAGTGTAAGCTTCCTCGTTGAAAAGCTGTATTGTTATGTTGAAATTTTATATAGTAGATCTTGGATTCATACGTACAAGCAGCTTTCTGCCTTTTGGAACATGCCTGGCTTGATTGCTTTCCAATAATTACAGATTTAACTTTGTCTGGTTGTGTTTAATATTCCATCTTCTTCAAAATCAGCCCTTTTTGAACATATTTCAGTCATACTCAGCAAAGAATATAGTTGTGGAGGGAGGAGTTTTCTGGTTCCTAAGGAGTACTTTCACCAGATTGTGGCATATTACTTTAACCATTCTGGAGAAGAAAAGAATAAAAAAGACTTACAGATCATAGTTAGGTAACTAAATCTTAGGTATACTGTTGTTTAATGAATTTAAATTAGCCCTTCTTCTACTCACCCTTGTGATGTGGAGATGGGAATTTAGTGGATGAGCAGACGTGACGAGTTCTGATAAAACAAAAACATTAAGTTGTGGGTCCTACACATAATTAGACTCAAATCAGCATCAAGCTTAAAATATAATTAGCTTCATAATGCGGGAGGTCAAGTTGATAACACCTTGCTTGTAGTAATGTAAGATAATGCATGTAGCTGAGAAAAGGAGCTTAAATTAGGACATTAATTATGTAAACTATACTTTTTTAAAGTTAAGCTGCCATCATAAGGCGGAGCGAAAAGCAGTTTGGTTTAGAAAAGACAAGAAAACTTTTTAGAAATACATGGGAAATAATCTACCGCAGTCAGGTTATTTATCTCTAATGGATGCCTCAGTTGGCTACATGATCATCTTTAGATTGGTCAAACTAACATGGAAACACAGCCGGAAGTGCCCGTTTAGACATTTCATACTTATGAGTCTGGCATCAAGCAAGCATTACCTGCCATCCAGACCATATTAATAGATAAAATACCAGCATGAAATCATCATAATTTGCAGATTTCATTATTTTCTGATTGACTCTTGCCACTCATGTTGTCAGAGCATCTCCCTCGTAAAACTGTTTCAGCATTTCCGAAAAATATGTAGCCAATCTATACCAAAATTTCAACAGTGACTCCATTGTTTCTAATCATTCTGAAAAGAGTGATTGTTTTCTTTTCACACGAGCTTATCCTACTACTAGTGGAGTTTCATATATTTGTGTGTGTGTGTCTGTATGTGCATGAATATATTGCTTTTCAAATGCTGATCATCCCACCTTGAATTGTCTATTTATGCTACCTTTTGGCAATCATATTCTCCACTAACCCTGATTAATTGCCAGTTGGAATTAAGTGTCTTTTGATATTAGCTTCTGACCTTAGCTAGAGACAATTGATATAACCCTGTTTTATGCTAATCTCTTTATACAGTGCACTCCTTTGGATGACTGATTATCAAGAATATTTATTTTTACCCTCCTTTCCATGTTTATATAGATGCTCCCACTTTATTCCCATTCATAACAGTAATCAATGAGCATGATCTTTCTGTTTCATGAAAATATCTATAAACTATCTGATGCATAATAAGATGTAAAGTGCACATACTTTGATAACAAAAGATATATATATATATATATATATAATTTTAATCTTTATATATTATTTAGGTATTTAGTTCACTTAGGAACTAATACCTATATGTTTGCTACTGGTACGAGTTTATTGTTTCCTCTTTAGTTTGGATTCTATTTAATTATTCTTTACTGCAATTTATTTAATTAATCAACTTATTTTCTTATTAGTAGAATTCCTAGATAGACTTAAAAATTTCTCTTTGATTGTATTTTAGTACCTATAAAAAGGGTACTCTGTGTTGTTATTTGGTAGATTATTCATGTGATTATTATATAAACACTGAGGTATTAAAATCCTAAATCCTCAATTTTAGTTCTTAATAAATTTTCTCTTAAGTATTGTGCTCAAGCTCTCCTTAATCCTATATCACTAGCACTCACCAACTTTAGCAAAAAAAAAAAAGGAAAAAAAAAAGCACTCATCAAACTTGAAGATGCTTAATCGTCAACTCAAACATCATGAGTTAATGTCATATTCTCTTTAATTCATGTAACAAGTTGAACATTTGATTGATAATTTCTTATACACCAAGTTAAAATTATAAATATACTTGCTTATGATGTACGAGCTGAAAATTCACCTGCCTCTGTTCTACATTTGTGCTGAACATAGGTTGCCAATTGCATACCACATAGTTTATCACCTTTCATTTAGTTAATGATCCTCTAAATGAAAAACATTTTCCTTTGCCAACTGGCCTCAGTGTCCTTCTTTCTCCGAAGAAATTAACTTCAGTTTATCCTCTGTGGCAGATCCACTAACATACTTTTGAATTCAAGCTCACAAGATTTTAGACTTAGTAGGCTTTGCGGTGACTCTAGAATCTAATTTCTTTGAAGACTTTAAAACACCAAATATTGATTTTCTGCTTTATATTCTGTTTCCAAAGAGTTTATTGATTCTGCAGATGTCGAAGTACCTGTTGCTTGTGCCATTCTGGTATTTTTGTTTGCTCTCCAACATTATGGGACTCACCGCATTGGATTTCTATTTGCACCTATTGTCATCACTTGGCTTCTATGCATTAGTGCCATTGGCGTGTATAATATATTCCACTGGAACCCTCATGTTTATCAAGCACTCTCTCCCTACTACATGTATAAATTTTTGAAAAAAACCCAAAGGGGAGGTTGGATGTCCCTGGGTGGGATCCTCTTGTGCATAACAGGTACATTAGTTATCTACCATTAATTCTCTTTTGTTGTTATTCATCATATACACGCTTCTGTTCTCTCTATGTTACTAATGCTTATTTGTATATTTCAGGTTCTGAAGCTATGTTTGCTGATCTTGGACACTTTTCACAGTTGTCAATCAAGGTAATTTGGTTCATTTTTCTACTGTAGGCTATAAAAGGTTTGTGGAAGTATTTCAAAAAGTGTTATTCAGAGTACTATGCTTTACAATTCTCTATATCCTCGAAAGAATGAAGAACATATTCAAGATGACTGCTGCCTTCTCCGTGGCAATAAAGATTTGAGAAGATATATTTGTGCAGATACCCGAAGTTGCTTTTGAATGTCCCATAGAAACAAGTGAAAGCAGTAATGATATCCAATGAAGTCCAAAGCCTGGAAAAAATAGTGATTATTAGATTTATGATCTTTTCTCATTGTGTATTTCATTCCACCCTTGCCTCTTTCTCATGCTTAGGGTAGATTTCATACTTGAGAGTAATAATCTATCTTGAAATTCAATTGTTGTACTATAATAAGACAATAAACGAACAAACCAACCCAAAGAAGTAAAACACAAGAGATTTAAACGGTTGGTTTGATGTAGGCTACTCCGCAGGAGGGATGATTCCGAATTCGCTGTAGAATATCCAAAGATATAATGTATTTCCCCCTCTCAGATTTTGTTCTGATACACCCAATAGCAATATTAGGTTTCGGATGGTAAAATACATATGTATAACAGCTGGAAGGAAATAACCATAAAAAAGACTCTAATGTACTCCAAAAATCTATTAGTGCTTTCACCAAAAACTATGGCCATTTTAAGATTATGATTTAATCTTGTAAATTCGAGACACATTGCAATAGTATTAATTCCCACACTTTCATACTATTGCGCTGTAAATAAATTATTCATTTTATTAGAGATCAAATATACCAAGGAAAAGGAACAAGGTTAGATTTGTCTAAAGAGAAACTACTTTGTTTGAATAACCTGTTGCCTTCTTGACCAGACATGTATAGATTATGCTGATGTGTGTGTTACTATCAAGTCATTTTTTATTTTTAATATAATAAAACTATTTGGAGAAAAATTTCTCATGACAAAAATTACAAACAGCTTCCACATTTGACACATCTTTAATCCATATTGATAATTATCAAGGCATGTGTGTTGCCGCAGATTGCTTTCACCTTTGTGGTTTATCCATCTTTAATCCTGGCATACATGGGACAAGCGGCTTATCTATCTAGGCATCATATCCTTGAAAGTGACTACAGGATTGGATTCTATGTATCTGTTCCTGGTAAGTCTTTGTTTTTCATAGATCATGGCGAATCCCATATAGCTTTCAAAATTATGATTGGCCAAGTAAAACACTGTTCTTATTTTTTCAGAGAAAATAAGATGGCCTGTTCTGGCTATTGCCATCCTTGCAGCAGTTGTGGGAAGTCAAGCTATCATCACTGGAACTTTCTCAATCATCAAACAATGCTCTGCTTTGGGTTGCTTTCCGAGGGTCAAAATTGTGCACACATCGTCTAAAACACATGGCCAGATTTACATCCCAGAGATTAATTGGACTTTAATGCTGTTATGCTTGGCTGTGACTATTGGCTTCAGAGACACCAAACATATGGGTAATGCATCAGGTAATGTCCTACAGTCATATGTTCTTTTCTGCAACATTGTTATCTTGTATATCTAGACTTGGTCATATTCTTAGGGCATTTTCTTTTCTTGTCTGACAGGGTTGGCTGTTATAACAGTCATGCTTGTGACCACCTGCCTAATGTCTCTAGTGATTGTTTTATGCTGGCACAGAAGTGTCTGTTTAGCCATTTGTTTCATATTCTTCTTTGGATCCATTGAAGCACTTTACTTCTCAGCATCTCTCATCAAGTTCCTTGAAGGAGCTTGGGTCCCTATTGCTCTTGGATTCATCTTCCTAATTGTGATGTACATTTGGCATTATGGCACCCTGAAGAAATATGAGTTCGATGTACAAAATAAAGTCTCCATCAATTGGCTCCTCGGTTTAGGTCCCAATCTTGGTATTGTTCGTGTCCGTGGCATTGGCCTCATAAATACCGAGCTTGTTTCAGGAATCCCGGCAATTTTCTCCCACTTTGTTACCAACCTCCCTGCTTTTCACCAAGTTGTAGTCTTCCTCTGTATTAAATCAGTCCCAGTACCACATGTCAGACCCAAGGAAAGATTCCTTGTGGGAAGAGTTGGTCCCAAGGAGTACCGGCTGTATAGATGCATAGCACGGTATGGATATCGAGATATTCACAAGGATGACTTGGAGTTTGAAAAAGATCTTGTTTGTAGCGTAGCAGAATTCATCCGGTCAGAGAGACCTGAGTGTGTTGTAGGAGTAGTAGACTTGGAAAATGATGAGAAGATGACAGTTGTTGGAACTTCATCTTCCAATTTTGAAGGCATAAAAATGTGTGATGATGATCCAGATTTTTCTGAGTTGGTGGGGACATCTGAGTTAAGGGAAATAAGATCTCCAGAGAAGCCGCGGAAGAGGGTGAGATTTGTTTTGCCAGAAAGTCCGCGGATTGACATGGAAGCACAAGAAGAGTTGCATGAATTGATGGAGGCAAGGGAGGCAGGAATGGCCTTTATACTGGGACACTCGTATGTGCGGGCAAAGAGAGGATCAAGTTTCATGAAAAGAATTGTAATTAATTTTGGATATGATTTTTTGAGGAGAAACTCAAGAGGACCAAACTATGCATTAAGCCTTCCTCACGCATCTACTTTAGAGGTGGGGATGGTTTACCATGTTTAAATCTGTAACATTACAGTATAGCAATGTATTCCATGACTATCATCTTTTATTTAACGCTTTGTACATAAAATTTTCTTTAAAATCTCATTAGCACCTACCTGCGTGGTGTGTGCAAAATTTTGTAAAATATTAAATTTAAAATAAATTTAAGTCCTCATTGAATTAGACGGTAAGATTAACTTAGTATGATTGGAAGATCTGAGGTTCCAAAGACAATACAAAGTATAGGAAGGTGTGAAGCACCCATCCCGCAATGCAAGTTAATTAATTGGTGCATTAAAAGCTATCCTATCCATGGTGTAAGTTTGTAAAAGTGTCATGGATTCAGAAGGGATGAAGAATTAAAATATATCAAAAGAAAAATCATACTTCTCCAAATGGCATTATTTTGTCATAGATGTTTATGGCTGAGGAGCTAAAATTATTGTACTTCTCCTCATACTACCATAACTATTTACATATATTTCTACTTATTATTATTCATGAGTGTAAACACTAAACATGAAATACCAAGTTACAAGCATTCCTCCATTTCGTGAATAGTGACAAGCACGTTATATTATCATATGTAAGTGAGACAGTAAGCATTCTGGAAGAGTTTATTCCAAGCCTATAATCACGAAACCCAATACCCAAACATTCATCTGAATTATGTAACCATGCACTGTAAGCACTTACGTAAGTAGATTAAAACCAGTCTATCCGGAAAACAGAGTCGAACAAAGGAAAATTGAAGTAGAATCGCGCTTCTATTAAAACTAGGAACATATAACACCTACCTTGTCGCGCCTACCTCTGTTATTTCCCACCTTCGTCTTTCTCCTTGTTTCTTACTCTTCTTTTTTCACTCAGAAGGAACACCAAAAAGCTCCCTCTGTTCTCACTCTCGGCCAGCCCCAAGAATCCCTGAAGCTCTCCTCCTTTCCTGGAAATACAACTCTCCTTGAAAGAAAACTCATCAAAAAGCTCAGCCTCTCCGTTTCAATCTCCCCCACGTTTTCCCCCTTCTTTTAGTCAACGCAGAGACTCTACTTCACGCGTCCTCGATCCCGATACCCGTTGCTTCTTCCATCTTTTCGTCTCTGCTTCTCTTTGCCTTGCGTGTGTCTCCCTTTCTATTTTTAGCTTCAATTTCTGATAACCAGCTCGTTCATTTTCTCTCTAGTTTGCTTTTCTCATTCTCCTCCAGTCAACACCAAAAGCGAGCCTCTTTTCATCTTTCCCTCGACTCTAGCACTCTACCATCTCTCTGTCATCGTCTACCAAGTTCCCTGTCTCTCTTCTGTCTCTTCGTTGTTTTTGTAGGACAGAGAAGATAACAACACCAACACCAAAAACGATGTCGTTTTGGAAGTTTAAGAAAGAAGGTTCATGCTTCTCCTCTGTTTCGGTTTGAGCTTTGGTAAAGGGTCTACTCTGATAGTTATCTTGGGGTAACATGTCAGAAGAGCTGGGGGATTTTATCAACTCATCTTTTACTGATTTTATTTTTTCCTTTTTCTTTTTTCATTTTTCTCCATGTTTATGTCATATCTCAATTTTTTAATTTGTCAAAGATCACGTTAGCTTACTTCTCCTTGGGTTGAATTAAGCTCAGACTAATGGTTGATTAATTATCATAAGAGCAACTTTAAGATTTTACTACTTAATTTATATGGTAAGTTGTGTAAACAAATCATTTTAAGTTTAAGATCAGTTCAGATTAAATTTTTATTATTCAACTGAAATTAAATTTGGATGTGACATCATTCACCAATCATTCAAATTATATAATTGTTATGAAAATTTTATGATATGTAAATATATGTTTGGTAGTTCGAAACTGGCTGAAAAAAAAAAAAATTAGCTGAGAACTTACTGTTACAAATAATAATTTTTTTTTTAATTAGTTAAAATTTTTAAGTAAATGATATTCAATTCTAAATTAGTTTTGGAGACTTGCCTTCAAGATTTTAGATCCATCTAATTCTTCTTTTCTATTTTCTTAAGATTCTTATGGTATTTTTAAACCAAAATCTAACAAATAAAAAAACACATATAAAGTGGCTCTTTGTTGGTTAAGAATAAAATGTTTATACTTTATTATTAAATTTTAAAAATAACTCTATATTTTATAAATTAACAATATAAGAACTCTTGAATCTATATAAAATAATATGTAATTATTTTTTGGGGTTGAATGGTACACTATTTTTATATGGTATATCGTGACACGATAATTGTATTTTTTCTTTATATATTAGTTAGTTCAAGTGAAGAATACATTTTGATGACACTGAAAGTTTAATTGATCAAATTAAATATTGACAATTGACTCGAATTTATAATAAAACAATAAATTATATTTTTCAAACAAAATGGACGATATTTAAGAAAACTTCTCTATCAGATTTTCATTAAGTAATCTAATTTTTAAACTTGTAGATTTGCACAACGTGTAGCGCCCGGAAAGGGGCCGAAAAAAAAAAAAAGCCACGTCGGCAGCCATGTCAGCAGGCCCGGTCAGCAGTCCCGGCCAACCGGGACCTGCCACGTGGCAAGACCACGTCGTTCCGGAACGGGCCACGTTGGCGATCCGCGTAGGCGCGATCGGACGGCCCAGATCAAACGTGCGATCGGACGGCCCAGATGTAATCGCACGGACGACCCAAATTCAATCAAAAACGGACGGTCCAGATTAAAACAAAATGGACGGCTGAGATTAAAAGACAAAGGGTTATAAATAGAACCCCCACACCAGACCACAAACCCTAGCCGCCTGCCGCTCGCCGGAGAAGACGAACCAGAAGCCGGCCGCCGCCACCCGCCGCCGCACCGGGGAAATTTTCGACCGCCGATCGAGGTAAATTTCGTACCCCCCGACTCGTTTTTACACACTGATTCCTCCTGTGGCCAAATCGGAGCCAAAATCCCGGCCAAACGGCCGGAATACACGGCCGAAGCCTAGCGGCGCCGCCGCGCCCCTTCTCGATATTTGCCTCCGATGAGGCCCTTCCCGGCCTCCGTTTGATGCAATTTTTATATTACCGTGATCACTATTCTTTTCTCTACAGGTTGACCGGAGCCGAATCACCAAAACACGAACCTCGCTGGAGAGCCGCCGCACCCGAGAGCGCCGCCGCCGGTAAGCTCCGTTTTTCCGTAATTTTTGGCCCCCCGAGGGCCCTAGGGTTGTTTTCTCGCAGGGACCGATGCGAGTGTGGCCGAATTCGGCCGGAAACGGCAGAAAACAGCCAACCCGAGGCGAATCGCCGCCGCCAGCGGCGGTGCCGTCGCTGGAGCACGGCGGAGCCGCCGTGCCGGAGTTGCGATATTGGCCGAAAGGGGCCCTGGGCCTAATTTGGGATTTTTTTGGAACACGTGCAGGTACTAGTAGTGCGTTTCAGTTCCCCGAGAAAAATTCAGGAAAAATTAGGGACAGCCTGTAGGCGCACTGTGAAGCCGTGTTCGGACCCCGAAACGTGTAAGGACCCCTCACCTTATTTTCTATCACGGTTTTAAAGTTCAATAAATGATAAAACGGTATTTCATGAATCAACAAATGTGTGAAATTGCTTAAGGTCGCTAATGGAGCCCAAGTCTAGTGTATTTGTCGGTTAACTGTTATTTGGCCTGTTTTACAGTTTTAAATGCAGCATGAGGTTCGATGTTTTCATTTTATAGTTTCGTGTGCATATTTTACTGTTTTATTGATTATGGATTAAATGACTGGGATATTGATGCTGTATGTTGTCTGTTTAGCATAAATTACTGTTTGCTTGCTTGTATGTGGATTAATGATGCTGACTGAGGAAAAAGAGAATGAAAAATTATGTAAATGGGTAATGGTATAATGTGGTCAGCCTGACTAGATATCCTGGGAGATGGTGGACGGACTGGGTCCGTAGGGAACCCTACCGGGATTGTGGTCTCCCATACCGGACGGGATATGGAGATCTTATGTGTTTTGGCGCCCATACCGGACAGGGTATGGGGACGGCCCGTTTCACCCTCATACCGGACGGGGTAATGAGGTCTATGTTTTGGCGCCCATACCGGACGGGGTATGGGGACGACCCTTTTCACCCTCATACCGGACGGGGTAATGAGGTCTATGGTTTGGCGCCCATACCGGACGGGGTATGGGGACGGCCCTGGAATGGATTTCAAGTGTTAAGGATTAACGGGTAGCGGGACCCCTATGGATCCCCATGGATACTAGTGGGCTGGTGAATCAGGAAAATATGTTGTGTAACGATTGAATTACGAAAAGTTTGATAGGTATTATGTTATACAGTTCATATATATGTTTTCATGATGATGATGATGTTATTGCTTTCGTATATTGTTTTATGAATTTCACCGAGATAAGTGAATGGTAAAGGTTTTATTATTAATAAAAGGATTTGTTGTAAATTATGCTTCATTGGTCTTTTTGTGTTTTCTATCCACCTTTACCTCCGTGACGGTGAGATATCGTGATGTCTTTACTGGGATAATGTAGCTCATTCCTTATTTAATCATTTCATATCAAGAGGATATCGTTCCCGAGCCGGTTCCGCAGGAGGACGACGAAGGGGACGCCTAAAGGCTCCCTAGTCACATTCGTAGTTTTTTACTTTCAAGTTTCTCCTTTAGGTAGTTTAATTTTTTATATTTTGTGAGCACGTTTTTGGTTTTAGTGTAAGAGATGTTATTCAAATTTTGACTTCGCTTCCGCATTTGATATTTATAATATAATTTCCATTTTAAATTTCTGGGGCTGCTACACAACGGATTATGATTGTAATGTTAAGGAGAATGAACAAGATTAATGTTGAGGTTTTTTTTTTTTTTTTCTAATTTGTTATTTATACGATATACAATTTAAGATATTTGTTAGTCAATATCAAATATATATAAAATAGGGAGTCGAAATTTTGTTTCGCATCTCATCTAATAAATATAATAGTAGATGGTTTGACAATACATGGTGCAAAACAAAAAAGTATGGATGTTTCATTCATGTTTTCTTAACATGCATCGATGAAATTCTGGTTCTTGGGAAAAAAAAAAAAAATCTTAAGAGATATTTATATTTGCTTTCCGTAGTCTAAAATTAAAATGTAGTTGGTGTAAAAAGAAAAGTATTAGAACGTGATTATTCGCTCATTCACCAATTTTGGTAAATTAACTAACAAAAAGATTTATAAAGTAAAGTCTCAAAGCATTATCGTTTACCATATGAAAACTAGCACTCCAGCCCATGGTATTTAAGTACATAAATAATCAAGAAAGAGCCCAGGACAAATAAATGAGTAAATTCATCTTCTCTTGAAGTTTGTGAAGAAAAATGCTCAATTATCCTCCAACATTATTTCAACTGTTGATGCTCTCAGTTTAATCAGATTAACATAATTAAAACTTCAATACAAACTGAGGTAATAATATAAATAAAAACATT